CGAAAAAACCGGTGCCGGTAGCAACAAAAACTGCGGGGAACCATGCAAAAAACGCATCTTCGCATGAGGAACCCGTGGGTTGGCCAATTATTTTTTTTTTTTTTGATAAAAGAAAATGTAGTCAGATGAGTGCAGAAGTTTAACCATAGAGAGTGGGCAGAGTTTTGCCAAAATCGTCACTAAAATTAATTTGAGAAGTAGAAGTTTGCGTAAAAGAATGAACAAATAGCCGTAGAAATATTCTGTCGAAGACAGAAGTGGAACATCAGCACAGAAATTTGTTTCATTATCTCAGTGGAACGCTAGGCGCCGTGTGCATTCGTTGTGAAGTCGATGGTGCAGCCGGAACTCTGGAATGCCTAAGATCTGGCTGTGCTTTATTGCCCAATAAACGAACAGAAAATTGCAGGATATATATTGCTGGCTGGTGGCGAAATTGATTATGGCAGTTCAGTCTCTCGTCTCGTTGACTACTGGTTCCTTGACCTGTCAGCTTATACGTGGCAGCAAATTCCAGCACAGATGCCGCTTCCACTGATTGAGCCTCGCTTAACAACCACAAATTCAGGTTAGTTGATCTGACATGCAGACACTGTAAAATTCATATTCATCTTTACGTTTCAGCGTAATGAGGTAATACATTTTTGATGGAAAATTTACCGCTTGCGCTATCTTCTCATTTAATTTTCTTCATGTTTCGCGTTCAGCCCTTGCTGTTATATGTTTTTTTTAGGCTGTGTTTACTTGTGGGGCGATTTTGATCAACCACTACCAGGCATGCCATCAGGAACACATTTACGAATTCTAAAAGTGACAGGATTTGAAGGCATGAAACCACCACCGTACGACGAAGCGATCAGAAAGCCCACTGTACCCCCATACACCCCGCAAGGACCGTATCCTGCGGGCAGCACACAGGCATATCCGGACCTTGGTTTTGCGCAGCCAGGTGGCGACACGATGCAAAATATGGCTCCATATCCACAAGCTAATAATCCTCCATATTCACAGCAGCAACAACAGCCACCGTATCCTCCGGCGCAATCGTCATATCCTCAAGTATATCTTCAGGGACAGCCGCCACAAAGTGGAGCGCAGCCGTACCCGTATCCTGCTAGTGCACCACCACAGCAACAGTATGGCGGACCCGGACCAATGGCTGGCCAGCATGCTTACTATCCTCCACAGGACAAGCAGACTTGCTCCCTCCAGTAAATTTTGTAACAATTCCCTCTGTGATCGACAAAGTAAGGATCGTTAATTACTTATTTTTTTTTCGTAATATTTGTGTAAATCTGTCATATTTGCACTTCTGTTTTGAATTTCTTGTTTTATGCGCAACTCTGTTACATTTTTGTGATAGTTTATACTGCGAGAGTCATAAAACAACCTCTGTTAAGAATAATATTTTAAAATTCTAACAGTTTTTTCACTTTATGTTTTGTATTATTTGTTCACTATGAAATGTGATTCTTAATTCCACTTCATCAAAATAAACGCCCCTTGTTATTATCCTTATTTTCAAAGTTCTTGTAACTATAAAGTCTTCGCTTGCTATTAATGCGAAACATTGCCTTCCTCTATCTTAAGCTTCTGTAATTCAAACTTTCTTATACTGCAAATCCTGGTTGTCTCGGATGTTTATCTTTTCAGCTAAATTGTACACGACCACTATTATTCGTTTGCTATGAGTCTCGATTTGGTGTGTTTTAACAGTACCCGCATATACTTATCTTTTAATGTGCACAGTTTAACTTCTGTTAATCACTTCATCGGAAATACTCCATTTTGAGTGGATCCGAATTTTCACTTGATGTATAAACGGCGAAGTGTTCGATCATAGCTTGCACATTTCCAATGAAGAATTCAGCAGATTTTCTGAACAAACGGTTTCATGAATAGGAAGATTTTTGAGAGAAATATTTGGCCAGCGCGCCGAATGCCGATGCGAAGGTGCGTTTTTTGCACACTTTTCCGCGGATTTTTGTTGCTAGCAGCGCTGTTTTCCTCAGCAGATGCTTCTAGCTAAAAGAATTGAGACTGACCATCACGACCGTCAGAAAAAATCCCCTCAGAATTCCAACTTCCTACCTTCTCTGGTTTCTGAGTTAGCAACTTACCTGCCAACAATCGCCACGGACCCGTATGTGAGAGTCACTTACGCCTGGGCGTTAAGTTTGAAGCCATTTGATTGTACGTGGATGGGAATATCCCCTTAAAATTCCACCTTTCTAGCTTTTCTGGTTCTCAGGTCACCAGCTTACTCGCCAAAAACTTTGATAGACCGTACCACGCGCGTAGGAGCGTTCGTTTTGGGAGTAGAGGCCCGTACACGCATGTAGATTAAGTTCCCGAAGTTTCAGCCTCGTAGCTTTTGTAGGTCTAGAGATGAAAACTAGGTACAGATGCACACATAGACAACCCCTCGACAATATGCGTTTGTGCATTGCATAGATGTAAACCCAGGCTGGAACGCACCAGGTTTGTCGGCTGGTGTGGTCATGCGTTTTTGCACTAAACTCGCAGATCGCTAATAGCAGGAATGATAGCCTAACACTTGGGCTCATATTGGCCGTGTTTTGATCCTTCCCGCATGAAGGAGGAGGGGCGTCGGTTGGGATGAAGGTGGTGCATCATAGAGCTGCACGCACATCGAGGTGCGTGATTACCAGTTTTTTGCATGAAGTTCGGTCGTTTTTTTTTCTGAAAATAATCGCTTTGTGAAATAATTGGTCAACGCACGGGCTGTCCGTACGAGAAAGCATTTTTTGCATGGCTCCCTGCAAATTTTTGTCGCTAACGGCACTGGTTTTTCCGGCAGATGCTTCTAGCTAAAAGAATTCCAGACTGGCCGCTTGAATTGTCAGGAAACATCCCTTCAAAATTCGAGTCTTCTAGCTTCTCACATTCCCGAGTTAACAACTTGCCCGGAAGAAACTTCCACGAGCCCATACGCAGGTACCACCCTTACCCGCGGGCAGGATTTGAACTCATTAATACCCATTTGGACGGGGAGCATCCCCTTGAGATTTCAGCCTTCTAGTTTCTCAGATGCCCGAGTTAGCGACACCCTAAAAGAAATGTGGTGGACCTGTACGCGGGTATCACGTTTACCCGGGGGCTGAGTTTGAACTAATTAAAACCTGCCTCCAACGGATTGTTCAGGCATGAGGTCACAAAATTAATACAAAATTGGGCTGAAAGCCGTAAATGTGTAATACAGATGTTTTTGAACTCATACTGGTCGTTTCAATTTATTTGGCGCGCCGTTCTTCAAACTGATAGGTATTCACACGCCTACAGTGAGATAATTTGCTGGACTGTAACCTACCACTGATCTCTCTTTCTCAAAAGAAAATTTTATTGAACTGGCCAATATTTATTAAGGCGCAGTCAAAACAATTCAAGGTTCAGGGAACCTGGAAACCATTTGAGTATTGGGCCATCCACTGATTCGCTACAGCGCTTACTTCTTTGTTCTAAGCAGACGGACGTTTTTGATTGCATATTGTTTTTGTGTAACTAAATACTGCCATCTTACAACGGTACTTTTATTAAAGCTATTCACAAACACGTCAGAAAACTAAAGTGACAATGAATTAACAGTACAATGCAGTGAAAAAAGCATCAACCACCAGAATGACAATGAATTAACAGTACAGTGCAGTGAAAAATGTATCAACCACCAGAATGACAATGAATTAACAGTACAATGTAGTGAAAAATGTATCAGCCAAAATCTCAATGCGAAATTACTAGGATGAATTCTCTATCAATTCACAAATCACACGTGCCGCAACGAACAAATGTTTTAAAGGCATCCCTGCTGGTTTGCTAGTCTCGAGCAGCTTGTTCCGGAATCTTCATATTTTTGATTGAATGAGACTCAGACAACTTCAGAAATCTTGCTTTTTTATCATTTCACGCGAGCTCGACCATGAGAATGCATTTGCAGCATCGTACTTGTCAGCAATAGAGTGTACATTCCACAGAGGTTTCCTGAACTTCTGACGCGAAAACGGCTTCAGGCTTCACTGAGTTCAAATTTTTAATCGTATGGGGCTCCGACGGTTCCAGAAGACTTGGCCTTTCCCGTTCCATGCAAGCTAAATGCGAATGAATTAGCAAAAGCAAATGGACAGCCATAGACAGTGTGATCCATACAGATATCCTGAACTTGCTAGTTGAAGGCTGATATCGCTTACTATTCAACACTTCGAGTTTCTGCTCAACCACCACTTTCCTGAGTTTTCTTGACTTCTTCAGCAACCTTTGAACTGCGGCACGAACGACCGCATTGGATTTATTTTTCCTCCAGAATTCGAGGCGTAGCAACTGGCAGTGAAAAAGAAGCTGCATCTTCGTAGCGCAGATCCTAGCGTCCCACTGAGAAACCAAGTGAATTTCGCATTTTGCTGCTAGTACCATGCGCACTTCCATCACTGTAACCGTTCGAGCGAATTCTCCGAAAAACAGGCAGCTATTGTGTTGGACGAAGCCACTCGATTCCGTATTGGAAGGCCCATGCTCTTCGCTCGATAATCCAGCCCCATTCTTCAGCCGCTGGTCCAACCGACGATCCCCCATCCCTTCCAATGCAAGCAATGAAAAGTGATGTGCAAAGACTCTTTAAATATCACATGCTCTGTAAG